AAAAAAAATTAAAAGTCAACGCCGCCCCCCCGGTTTTCCGCCCGTTAACGCCGGAATCCGGGAAAAAAAAATTCCGAAAAAAAAAAAAAAAAAAAAAAAAAAAGTCAACGCCGGAATCCGGCAGAAAAAAAAAGTTTTTGAAAAAAAAAAAATTTGTGAAAAAAAAAAAGTTTTGGGTCAAAATTGAATAATTTGTGAAATTTGGGGTCAAATTGAAGTTAAATTAAGTTAAGGATGAAATTGGAGCATATAAAAGTAAGAGGGGTTATTTTAGTCCTTTACATAAATCTGGACCATGTGTGGACTTATTGGTAAAGGAGAATATTGTCTGGATCTCTTTATGAATAAGTTCCCACTGATGGGCTTATTTGTAATATGCCCTATTTTATATACCCACTAACTGGCTACTAAACTAGGGATAAATCCAAACAGGATTTTTCCTTTGACATATCCTCTGGAGAGGGGAAAGTACTATACTACCCTCATATGCAATTTTCGGCCTAACTGCTTTCACAATTTCTGGTCCTGCATTTATCATTTTCCCTGATTTATTTATTATTATTATATTATTATTATTAATTTTTTTTTGATTTTTTTATTAAAAATATTTGTTTAATTTACTTATTTTTCTATTATTTTTTTTATTTAATTTTTATTTAATTTTTATTTAATTTTATTTAATTTAATTTATTTTATTTATTTTTTTAATTTTTTTTGCAGTACTGAAAATCAACGTGTTTACAGTACTGAAAATAACTACATATAATTAAACTATAGTCATTCGTAGTTCTTTTTTTTTACCCCATATTTTTAGTCGATCAATTATGTACACACACGAATACTGGTTTATACAAAAGAAATTCATTAACCCCAACAACAAAAAATTTCAAATTTCAATATTTATATTATAAATCACATCGGAACCAATAAAATACAAATCGAAAATACATAAATATATGCATATGTAACTACATGTAACTGTAGTAAACTATAGTCATTCGTAGTTCTTTTTTTTTTTTACCCCATATTTTTAATCGACCAATTATTTACACACACGAATACTGGCTTATACAAAAGGGGGGGGGGG